AGAGCAGAGAAGGAAGGGACTTGTTTAACACTTTCTAACTGATAAAACCCTTAAAATGCTCAGCCAAAAACCAGGGACGTTAAGGGGATCTTGCTAATTTTGAATGTCCGAGAGATGTTTTGCCAATAGTAGGGCTATTTTTCAGACCATTGATTGTCCTTCCTCTTCATGGTAATTTCTAATCTAAGTGCTGAGAGAACAGAGTAGCCTGTACTTAGCAGCTACCACCTTCAGAGGGTGGTTTGCAACCTAAGTGCTGTTCTTTCAAGCCAAAGTAGTCACCCCTCTTTTCCAGTGACTCTCTTCCTTGACTGTTATTTAAAACAGCAGCAAAATTCTTTAAGTGCTCACCAGATAGAATTCCCAGCTTTGCTAGAATTTGTTCCTGTAGGACTACATGAATAATGCAATGCTTAATAAACAATGTTTATATATGGATAGATTTTTATAGTGTCTGACTTTAATAAACAGAAGTGCTTACCAGTGTAAGTTTCATATTAAAAAGATGTGGCTGAAAATAGTTTATTAAACTAGAGCTTTGTAAACAAGACAGCCAGGCCCTCCTGCAAGGCTGAAGCCTCTTGGGTCTGTTCCCAAGACAATTTCTCACCTGCACTTTAATATAAGGTGTCCTGGATAGGGAGTGCAGAGGAGTCCTGGTGTGGGTTTTTTTCTTACAACCAAAACTTTGATGAATCTAACAGCATCTGAGAAGGCGTTGAATCTGAGATAAAGGTCTTGTACCTTAATTTGAAAGCAGTTGGTAAATTTGAAATCTGCCTTTGTCCTTGTGATCATCTTAACTGTATTTGTGCATAATCACACCAGCCTTAAACTCTGACTCAGTTCTAGTGTTCCCAGCCTTTTCTGTATTCAGGGAAAGCTAATCTTGCATTTGCCATATGTATTAAAATGTTTATCTGATATTTATCTTTGAAGTTAAATTTTATTCAATTTATTATCAGCATCTTTGATTCAATGACCTGTTTTACATCCCCATTGGTGACAGTGCAGGAGTGTGTACTGGGTTAATAATCTATGAAATATTGTCTGTTCTTTCCTGTTAATGAGCCTTTTGACAGCCAAAACAATAGAAATATGTAAGTCAGCTTGGCTTTCCTGTTTCTGATGGTGTCTTTCTTTTGGTTGTGTTTTGTTCCAGAGGAATTTTGGATTTTTCACTTGTGCTTGAAGAATATACAAGTAGCTATTTCAGTCAATGCACTTCATGTTTTAATCAACTAAACTATTTTTTCTGACTTGTTTCTTGTGTGATGCAACTACTTTACAATGCGAATGAAATTAATATTTGGAATTATACTAATGGAATTAGTATATATTTTCAGCAGGTTTAGACTTTGGCTTTGCAGCAGTTAAAAATATTTACTGTTGAAACCTTGCATGGTCTTTAAATATATGATCTAGATGATTATGTTGGTCATGGTTCACATACCTATTTTAAACTGACTTTTCAAGGAAGTATATTTTCTGGAAGAAATGTGGAACTAGGGATGTAAAGCAAAGTGGTTAATTTTAGTTGTTTGGGGTTTTTTTGTTTGATGGGTTTTTTTCCCAAGGACAGCAGCAGAAAGGCAAACAGCATATTTTGTTCTCCAAGCTGTCCAGCAGAATTTAATTTCAGTGACTTCTTTGCCAGTGATGGCATATAAAGGAGGAGGAGCAGGGGTTGACTTCCAGGCAGCAGCCTGAGCTTCTAGTGCAGGCACTTAAATTTCTTTAGAATTCTCTTGGACTTGTAAACCAAAGAGGATGGGATGTCACTGATGGAAAATAAACACCAAATTTCAAGATGTCATTTTAAGAGTTGTTTTTGTGACCATTACCATCCTTGAAAATTGTGTTAGAACAGTCAAAGTGCATGTATTCTGGTGCTGAAATTAAGGACTAGACTGTTATTCACCGGAGAGAGCACTTAAAGCACTTTACTCCAATTATATGTCTGCTACTCGATGCATGAGGCTGTTAGTGCCTCCTGAAGCAATTATCTGTAAAAGTCTTGTAGTGGAGATCGACTTCCACTGGGTGGTGGCCAAGGCTTGTTTGAGCAGGAGGGATTCAGGAGACAAACTTTCATATGACTTGAATTTCTTATCTTTTGGGGAACAGTCAGATCTGCTCATATTTGCTTTGCTCCTTTTCATGTCAGGGATATGTTTGCCAACAACAAACAAGCACCTGATTCTTCTTGGTTTGCTTTAATTGTCTCCCTCTACTTTCATTGCTCTCCTTCCTCACCTGTTTTTCACTCTGTTCTTTGCTTGTTTTATTCTATACTGCATACAAGCCAACCAAATCACTATCTTTCTTGTAAAAGAAAAATAGAAAATCCTATAGTTCCCACTCTGTAAATTCTGACACAAGCTATTAGAATATTTGTCTTTGGGAAAAGCCAATAACTAAATGCCTAGGAATCCATTCTGTTGAAGGAAGGAAGGAGAGGAGGGTGAGAGTTAAGAGATGTGCATCTCATATGAATACTGGCAACCTGGGAAAAATCTGATTGCCCAGATTGCTGCAGAGTACACAGGCACATTCCATTGATTGTAGAGGTCACTGCCAAAACAGTCACAGCTAAACTAGAGCTTTGTCTTAACTTTTACTTTTAAAATGCTTTTAAACCTTGTATGTAAACATCAGAGTTGATAGAGAAAAACACTTGTCCCAAAAGTACTTCTTGTAGAATTCAGCAGTTTCTCTGTTTCTTAGACAGGTATGTCCAGACAGTGAATTAACGCAGACTTTGGGTCAACAGCAGAAACAGATATTGAATTGAATGTTCTTGAAAACACCCAAATGAAATTCTTCAGGCTTCAATCTGAAGAGTTTGAACAGGGAGTTTAGTTGAAGTAGTAAAGAAGATGGTTGAGAGCTGTGTGTGAGGCTTTAGGCAGATTTGGAGTGGAAAATTGGTAGATAAAAGAAATGTGGCTTGAAGGAATTGGTGCTCTTGCATGCTTGTCTGGCGAGCTGTTCGCGTACCTCTTGAGGTAGAGATGTTTGTTGTGACTTGGTTTCTTTTGTTTGCTTTTGCATTGTGTTTCTTTTCCTCAGCTTTTTGCTTTTCTTACCTTTTTTTTTTCCTCTTCTTGCCAGCATGCAGCATCATGGGTTCCTTGCTGTTCTTGCTGATAGTGGACTGCTTAAAGCATTCACAGACACAGTTTGCATATTGCTTGTGCATTTGAGGAATGTCTCATTGTAGTCATGTGCATGGTGGTAATTTGGTTATCCTCGACTTGTTTAATTTTGTGCACTTTTTTTGAACTTCAGGGGTTTTTATTTAAGTACTTAGTAGTTTCACTGGAAATGACAGCTCTGTGTGTGTGTGTGTATGGATATTTGTGTATGATCTGTATTCTTCAGTTAGAATTAAATATCTGTTCTGCAGTTTTGAATTGGTTTTTCTGTGGAAGGTGACTGGTTTGCAGGATTTTTATTTGCTGCAGCATCATAGATCCTCACACATCTCCTTTCCTTCCAGGGCTTTTTATGGCAGGAGGTGATCTGTGCTTGAGCACTTTTGAACCAGAGCAAGGTCTGTGCTTCATAGCTTTGATTGCTGCATCGAGTACCTCTAGCAATGTGGCCTTTCTGAAAGTTCCACATGCAGATGTGGGTGACTAAGCAAGCTGTGTCAGTTGTTTCTGGCTGAGGTCAGGTTAAACCAAGTTCTGTGGAAGCCCCGTGGCTAAGATTTAAAGCTGCATTCCTTTCCCCACTGACCCTCCTTCCACACATCCTCATTGTTCCATATATTTTTGTTTTCCCTGCAAGCACTAAGCTCCAGCTCTGGTATTACCAGCCTATAAACATGGTATCATGCTGTTACAATGCAGAGGTTTTCTTCAAATGAGGCACTGTCTTGCAGCGCTTTGCTTGTTACTCAGTAAATGAATTAATGTTGAGTTTGAACAATTTCACAGCAGACATGGTAAGACTTCTCTGATACTCATTTTGCAGCTGTAATTCATGTTGCAGCATACATCAGCTAGACTGTGCAGCCCACGTATGCCTGGCTGTGGTGTGTTCTTTCACCCTGAAATGAGAAGGAAAGGTGGCAGAAAGTAATCTTGAAAGCAGCCGAGATAGAATTCAATAAAGATGTCTGCAGTATTCTCACTTGGGTTTATTAGAGCTTAATGGTAATTAAGAAACCTTAAGTGTGTGAAATTAAAAAACAAAGCCTCACACAAACCCCACCTTTATTGTACAACCAAGTATATTAAAGGATTTCATATTGCTCTGTGTGCATTTCTTGGAGGAAAAGCTGGAAGAAAGAAAATTGGTTTATGGTTTTAATGTCTGTGGGCAGATGAGGAAAGTATTGCAGCTACTAGAGGAACTGGTGTTCAGGTTTTATGTACATACATAACAAGAATTTTGTTGATGATTTGGATGAGGGGATTGAGTGCACCATCAGCAAGTTTTCAGATGACACAAAGTTGGGGGGGAGTGTGGATCTGCTGGAAGGCAGGGAGGGCTCTGCAGAGGGACCTGGATAGGCTGGAGAGATGGGCTGATTCCAACAGGATGAGGTTTAACAAGGCCAAATGCTGGTCCTGCACTTTGGCCATACCAATCCCACCCAGTGCTCCAGGCTGGGGACAGAGTGGCTGGAGAGCAGTCAGGCAGAAAGGGACCTGGGAGTTTGGATAGATAGAAATGGGAGGTTTCCATATGACCTTTGGCCTCTTAGAAGAACAAAAACCAAGAAAAGGCTGGTTTAATTGTTTGGCAAAACCAGACTGTTTGTGTTAAGTGCTTTTATTTAGTTACCTTGTCGTGACACCTGGAGTCATTGCATTCTTCTCTGCTGTCCTCCTGCTATGTCCTGGCTGGCACAAACTTGAGTTTTCATTTGGTTTATATAGCAACTGATCCATGATGGTAGTTTGTTGCGCTGTTACAATAAATAATAGTGACCTTGGCTGCTGGCTTTCCTCCCCGTGTCTCTATCATGAACCAGTCATCAGTGATTGAACTCGTACTTGTGCCTGTATAAATGAACATAGCTCACTTGTAACCACAACACTCGTGTCAGGGAGAGACATTTGTGTGCCTTCACTCCTGGGAACCCACAGAGACAAACAAAAAGGGTTTTATTTGCAAATAGCTAGAAAGTGAGGTGCTAACTCCGTCGTCTTTGATGGCAAAAGATTGTACAGCTCTTGTTGTAGAAAGAAGCAAGGGATTAAAAAAAATTATTTTACCAACAACCCTGTCATAGAATTTAAGCAAGGGTTGCCATTTCCTTTTTTCTCCTTACAAAAGAGCTTCTGCTTAATGAGTAGATACACAGTGAGTAGGATTTGTTTGGTTCTTTCTGCTGGCTTTAAAAGTTTTCTGTTGGTTTTTTTTTTTTTAAAACACTGAACATCGAATGAATTAAATCTAGATTAATGCGTTTAATGAGAAGTGCGTGACCTTTTCTGCATATAATGGGAAAGTAATGGATTACACAATTAAATAAGTTATATGCAAGTGGATATGATAAAAGACTTTGGCTGAGATTATAAAGGGCGTTGACGGCTAAGGAGGAGGATTGCAGTGGAAAATATGATGTGAATTGTTCTGTGAGCAGCATCAAGCCATGAAACACTTCTTTATTCTTCCTGTACTGTCAGTGTGGGTTGTTCTGGGTCCCCACATAGCTGACATGCACCAGCGGCTGGTGCAATGTCTTGAGTTCCAGTCTGGGAGAACTTTCCATTCATGTCCTGGTTCTGTAAATTATGTCCTTGTATTCAGCAAAACTTGTCCATTGATTGCTCAGCTGAAACCACAACGTAGCCAGTATTAGTATCAGCTTCTTCAGTTGTTCTGTATTGATAAAAAGCTGACCTGAAAAAAAATATGGTTCTGTGTAGAGCTTTTTACTGGAACTTTTTAATACTGAAGATGAAATTTCTCTATAGGGTTTTTTATGAGGAACAAGGACTGAACTGTGGAGATGTTAATGGGAAGCTTCACCCCAAAACCTAACTGAGAGAAAGTTCAAATATGTCTGCTGGGACCTTCTGCATGTGAGGGAGGAGCTGATAGTGTAGCTTGCCAGAGGTGAACTTAAGAAAGTGAATGAATGGAAGACAACAGACTGGGAGAGGGATATTGGGAAGGATTGCTGAAATGGAGAAAGTAGTTTGCTTAACGTTTCAGGGATACTGTGAGGAGGGTTACATACAGAGTAGATGCTGTAACCAACATGTTACCTAGGAAAATGTTGTTTTTATTTGTAGCAGTGTCATGAAAGAGCAATAGCTTGACAGAGTTACATCAGTTGTAGAAAGGAAGATTAGAATAACTGATTGGGATGAGATCTCAAACAAAATCTATGTTTGATGTCAGTATACAGAAGAACTTTGAGGTGTTCAGCAGAATGGTGACCCAGAGGGAGGCTCAGATAATAGAGTTTGTAGCCATTTTTGCTAGCAGGACCAACAGATCAAAGAAAAATTCTGCACAAAGGTGAATTTATATTATTCCTCTTCCTGTTTTAGGTAAAGAAGATGAATTTCCAAAGAAGCCATTGGGGCAGATTTCGTCAGGACCTCAGCCTTCTGTGCTTAACTCCACTCCAATGCTTAATGGACAGAACAGCACTGGTATACAAGCAACAAGGACAGAGAGGAGAACATCTGCAGAAGAGGAACCAGAAGGTTCACCAAATGACCGAAAAAGAATTAATTCGGTGGAAAAGAAACCTTCCCTAAAACAGCAGAAGACTCGACCAATAGAGACACAAAACAGTTTGCCTAGGAACGAGGTAGATACCAGAAGAAAGCCTCAGCCAGCAGAGCAGGACAACTCGAGACAGTACAATAATGCAGCTGCTAATCAAAATTCTAATGCTACTTCAAATACAAGAAGGGAATTTGTACCTAAGTGGAATAAACCGTCTGATGTCAAAATAATAGAAAAGACAATGAAGTTTACTGCAGAGGTGAAAGGGAGGCCAGTAAACCATTCAGTTTCGGGCCCACCACCAAGTCCTGGAGAAACCCAGCCTTTGAATGTAAAGCAGAAGATGAAGGTTTTGGATGCTGATGAAGGTAAGCGAGGGTCTAATGCATCTCAGTATGACAATGTTTCAGATGGTGATACTGAGAATGAGAATCTTGTCGAAGAGGTGCTTGAGAGAGCTCATCCACAGAGCCCTAGGCATGTGGCATATCCTAACAGTCCAAGAAAGCAAACTGAAAAAATGCCTGCTCCATTGAAAATACCCAATAATTACACCTTCACCTCACAACCCAGATCTCCAAAATATGCATCGCAGCCTGATGGCCCATCTCATGGACTGAATGTCAAACAGCCACTACCAGGTTACAATAATCCACCTACTTACTATGGGAATTCTCCCAAGCATGTTGCCAGTGTAGGCAATCCAAGTTCTGTACCTCTGCATCACCACGGGAGTCGCAGCAGCCCCTCTGGTAGGCTGTATGGCCCTTTTATGTCAGTGGATTATTCCCCAGATAAACTGCAAATGAATTCCTATCCTGCCAGTCGCCAAAATCCTCTTTCACCACCCCCTGGGCAGATAGAAGTAGCCCCTGTTGATGCTTACACCAGCAACTCGAGGTCCTCCCCATCTGTCAAGTTCATAATCCCTCCAGCGGGTTATTTACCGGAGGATAGGAGGTGGCCAGATCCTACCTACATCTACAGACACGAGCCCTACAGGCAGCCCTGGAGCCAAGACCTTCACCAAGGCCACTTGGAAAACTTCCAGAAATATCAGCATTTTCAGCCAACACCTTTTCAAGAGCACAGTCTTCCTGCTGTTCCCATGGATTGTCCCATAAGATACAGGACTTCACCAACCTTTGAAGAGAATGGTTCACCACAGTACCAATACTCAAGCCCATCAGCTCCAGCCCAGCAGTATCGGAACAGAACCGATGGGTTGTCTATGCATAAATCTGTGCTCCTCTGAGATCTGGCTGTGCTGAGTGAAATGGCAAGAGCCAAACTCAGCTGAACAGTACTGTGTTAGTAGTAGTCCACCTCAGTTTTCTCCGAAGTGCGGATGGGTCTTGTGAGATTAAAACAGTGACACTGTTTCAGAGATGTCTCAGACTTTGACTGAAGGATGGTGGAGTTCTTGGACTTGCATTGAAGCTATTGGAAGTGATCTGATGCACACAGATGAAGCAATAAGCTCTTACACACCATGTGGTTCATGCTGTCATTGCTCCTTACGTTTAAATAACTCGTGTTACAATCCTCTGCCTAAAACCTGTAACACACTTAGAAGTTTTATTTTGACTGACATTGTTAATGCACTGTACAGATCTGTGTGTGTGTGCACGTGTGAGTGTGCACTGATAATACACAGACACATATGGAAAGAGCTAAAGAATTTAAATGTAAATGCATTTACCTTTGGGCAAAGCTTGTGAAGTACTTTTTATTTCATATTAATTTTTCTTTGTAATTTATTTGAGAAGCCATTCATTTTGAATGGGATTTTCTGTCATTTTTTATACAACTGCCTCAGCATCCCAGTATCTGTTCTGGGCAGGAGAGATGCTTTAGGTTTATTAATTTAATCTTACATGAGAGTTAATTTCTTCTCCTTTGACTACTGTTTGTCGTTTTCCTCAGCAAAAAAGAAAAGCAGAAAGCCAAAAACGTCTCTCTAATCTGGCTAAGAAATGGTGCTTAAAATTCCGGGCAGTGTTTAGGGGTTTTTTTTTTAGGTGCATCAAAAGTGGAGAATTTTTACCTTCTCACCCACATCTACCTTCAGAATGTCATCCTATATGCAAAACATTGGAGCACAGTGAGAGAAATGCCAGATACAGAAATGGTGCTGCACCCTTCACTTTTTGCCATGCTGTGCTGTCAGACTAAAACTGGTTGCAGGGCCAAATGTCACAGGTATCAGAGAATGACCATGTCCTTGATACTCTTGTGAAGTGCACGTGGGAGTCCTGAGCTTTGCTCAAGGCTCGATATTCCCTGAGCTGTGTGAGTGTGCAGTGTCCCTTCTCATGAGCTTTGTCGAGTCAATTCCGTTTTGTTTTGCCCTTTTTCCCCCAAAGAGCTGGCAGGTTTGTGTCTCTGATGGGGCACGTGCTGCTGTGCTGTCAGGCTGCTCTAAAACACTAAAACAGTCCTGACTCTTGACAGGAAGCTTAAACTCCTGGTAATATAAGTAGTTTTAATTAGTGTTTGCAGCCTTTCCTACTTGGTGTTTTCCTTTTCTTGACTGTGAATTGGGGGTGGGAGAATAAAGCAGGTGAAGTGGCAGGGGT